ATGTTTAGCGTACTGTCTCTGGAAATATCAACCGTGATTGATCAGCCTTTATTTTTGTATTGTAGACGTTATTACTAGGCGAAGCAAAATTTGCTGAAATATCCACGACCTAGGCTACAGTAAGAGAGCATGGTTTATCTGTCCATCAGATGCGTGTCAAAGTTGAGTTTGTTACTATAACCACAGTAGATCAAACAATCATTGTAAAAAATTAAAAATAAACTGTCGAGATCACGAGAAAATTAAGTCGTTATAACGAGAAAACAACTCTCGTTATGTCGATATAACGAGAAAATAAGTCGTTATAATGAGAAAACAAGAAGGAAAAAAAATAATAATGCATGGCCACTTAGAACTTCCTTATAAAACAGCTCTGTTCACAGCGACCCATTTCGATGCATGTCTCTTTAAATGATAATGAAATACGGCTCACTCCACCCCTTTCTTCCGTGGGGCGTGTCGACACAAGACACATGAATTGCTGCCTTGGACTCCATATATGGCTCGGCGGGGGTCTTAGTCAAATAGCTAGGTATCTATGTAGAAACCGGCTGCAAATTGAAACACTCGTTAAATGACACCGTTTCAGACACAGACAGCACATAACAAACTGGCTGCGCATTTTCTTTTCAGCTTTACTGAGCTGGCAGACATGCCAGAAAACTAAATGCAAAAAAATTAAAAATTAAATAAAATAAAATATAAAAAATTGAACAAAAAATAAGGAAAGAAAGTAAAAATTGAATCCGATTTCCACTTTAAAAATGTCTTTAAATGCAAAATATCTAAAAACTTGTCTAAAAATGTCTTTAAAAAGCAAAAAGAAAGAGATGAAGCAAAAGAAACGTCAATGTTTCTCATTGTCAAAATAGTCACCCAAGTCTTCAGCATTGTTTCAATTATTTGTGAGTTCATATGTTCTGAAACTGAAGACAACATAGGCAACATTCCACTGCAGAAATGGCCGCTGTCATATTGTGCTGATGCCATCATTTGGAGTCTGAGTAGAACTAGTAGAACAGAAGTTTTATTACATTAACTTACTATTAACTTACTAAAAGATTTCTCCCAATAACTAAAACTATTCCCCAAAACTAAAATTAAGTTTACTTAATTCATAATCTTTATCTAAAAGTAACATGACCGCATGCTGGGTTATTGCGT